GAAAGAGCCCCAACCATGGGCACCCGCTGAGGCTTCTGCTCGCCCAGAACCCACCCGAGCAGTGGTGCCGCGGCCGAGGTGGCTCCCAAGGCACAGCCACGCTGAGCTCCTGCTCTACACTGGAGCTCCCGTCATCCGGCTCTACATCATTGCTCCATCATTGCTCCCAAACTGCCTTTCCCATGAGCATCATGGGGGGAAGCGGATGAGCTCGGAACAAGTGTGGTGTCCCTGAGTCTCACATGGCACTTTGCCACTGGAGTTCAGCCCTATTCCCAGGAACTGCTGAGGAGGAAGCTCACAGGGAGGCAGGGCAGGGCTGTGCTGTGCTCCCCACTGAAGAGGAGGGTTTCACTTTGGGGAGCGCTGGGGCTCTATTAGGGAGCTGAAATGCCAGATAATTAGAAATACACCAGCAAACACCATTATTGTCAGGAGAATGCAATTGCATACAGTAATGAAGCAATTATTAATGAGCAACTGCAAGGCTGTCATTAAGCTTTTCAGGATCACAGACTAAGGCAAGTTAAATGCTAACACAGAGCTGGGGCCGGCCTGAGCGGGGCTTTTCCCCATTGTGGGGTTGAGCAGAGCGGGGCCGTCTTCTCGCTTCCATCCCTGCAACCATATGAGCACAGGGAACCCCTTCACCCCTGGGGCAGCCGGGGCCACGGCTCTGCATGGGACGGGGACAGGGATGGGGTCATGGTGCCACCCCGTGCTGCAGCAGCACGGTCGAGGTGCCGGCGGCTCCATCGCCCCAGCGCAAAAACGCCCCGCCGCGCAGCCCCGCGCTGCAATCTGTCACGGCGGCTGGGGCGCGCCGGCTCTGCAATATGTACCTCATGTCTGGGCTGTCATCGGACATAATTCCTCCCTGCTGGCATATTGCTGATTTGTGCATAAGTGATGCATGCAATCCACCTGAGCTAGGAGTCAGGGGTTTCTTGATCTGGGGCTGTCAGGACAGAGTGTTTTAGTGCCTCCTGCGATTAGCTGGAATTGACAGGCCCTGAGAGCGGGGAATTGCACAACAGGGGAATTAACAGCCAGGGACTGAAGTGGAGTGTGCCACTCGTTTAATCTGCAATTTATCAGTTTACGTGGCTTCTTGTCACAGGCAGAAGATTACACTCCAAAAAAGAAGGCTCCCTTTCTATTTTGATATTTCCCCTGACTGGGAGAGGGACGAGCAATACTCAGATGCTGACATGGTTGCTGGGTCCTGAACCGAGTCGTGCAGGGTGGTGCTGACTGCCTCCTCTTTACACGTACCAGAATGGAGGGGAGAACATCCCTGGCGTGGGGGCACAGCTGCAGGGACCCCCATCCCCAACTTCATCTCCTGAGCTTTGCCCTCACAGGCTGGCCAGATCCCAGCCCTCCCGCGCGAGGCCCCGCCCCAGCCACATCAGCATCACATCCAGCCCGCACTGC